TTTTCATCCAAGATTACCGTTCCTGGTTGTAGTATATGTGTGGGAACTGCTTGATACCTTCTCAACATTGATACGTGGAAAACATCGTGTATCTTGTTGAGCTCGTTTGGTAATGCGAGACGATAAGCCACTAGCCTATACGTTTAATGAGCTCGTACGGACCAATGTATCTTGGACTTCATTTTCCATTCTTCCCAAATCGTAAGACATGTTTCCACGGTGATACTTTGAGAAATACTTTTTCTCTGACTTTGTACTCCATGTCTTTGCGTTTGAGATAAGCATATGACTTTTGACGATCAGATGGGGCTTTGAGTTTGTCTTAAATGGTCTTTACCTTTTCTTCAGTGTCTCGAACTATTTCAGGTCTAATCAACTTACGCTCATTTAATTCTGTCCAACATACAGGAGTTCTGCACCTCCTTCCATATAGTGCTTCGTATGGTGCCATTTGAATGCTCGATTGATAACTGTTATTGTATGTAAAATCCATTAGAGGTAAATACTTTTCCCAGTTTCTTCCAAAGTCGATGACACAAGACCTCATCATGTCTTCAAGAATCTGTATTACTCGCTCTGATTGTCCATCTGTTTGAGGATGGAAAGTCGTAGTAGGTGTAGCATAGCTCCCAAAGCCTTTTGAAATGCTTGCCAAAATTTGGATGTGAACCTTGGGTCTCTGCCAGAAAAGATAGAGAGGGGGTATTCCATGAAGTCGTACAACTTCCCGAATGTAAAGTTCAGCCAGTCTTTGTAATGAAAAATCTCTTCGACTAGGTAAAAAGTGAGCCGATTTTGTGAGTCGATCCACGATTACCCAAACTGAATCATTCTTCTTTAGAGTTTGAGGTAGACCAATGACAAAGTTCATTGTTAAACGGTCTCATTTCCATCCAGGAATAGTAATAGGTTGTTGTAACACCCAAACCCGGGTCACCCGAATAAATAGGTTAGCGAACCGGGTTGCTACTAAATTGGTATCCACATACAATATTTTCCAATAAACTAAAAGCATTTAATTTAAAACTCAAACATCTTCTCCGTCATGCTGCTCTCCGGGATGGATTACATAATCAATCTTCCACCACCACCTACGTGTAACAAAGGGGAAAAAGAGGCTACACGCTCAGCAATGAAGCTCAATGAGAAATATCTAACTGTTCGAACATACACATAGGCGAATCCACTAATTTATAATCATCACATGATATCATGCACAAAGCATGCTTAGCAAAAACCACACGGCATACGAGGTATAACATGCATAATCAATGACATGACAGTTCATAAGATACAAACAACAATGATGTAAGTATTAGGTACTTTCCTTTTTAGTTTACTTAACTCTTCTTATCGTACTTGGCTCTTAACCTATGCTAGGTTAAAGCTTAACTGATTGCATATGGATTCATGACCTTCCCCTTCGGAACGAAGGTCAAACTCAAACAAACTTGAGAGTTCCTCGTTGGGTGGGTGCGATCCCTGTCCCCTTCTGAACGATAATTATTAGATCCCCGTGTACACGTTTGTACCCGATCAGCCATTGGACCCAGCAGGTACCACATGGCTCTAACTTACTATACTTATGGCATGCCTTGCCACTAATCCATTCAGGTCATTTCCTAGAGTTCTTCTAGGTGATATATTCAACATTCATTAATCAATACATGACATAGCATCCATAAATCCATAATGCATTTAACAAGATATCCAACATAATCAAATAACGGCCTAACACTAGTTAAAACACTCATGCTTACCGTCATGCAACACATGGAGTCTCGGAATCAATCCTTGACGAAAACAAAGATTGACATACCCAGCATCAAGTACTAGACGATACCTGTCACAGTACGGGATACCCTCCTCACAGTATCTGGGTACCGGTCCTACGGTACCGGGGGTACCGACCGAACCATCTAGGTTCTTCTGGTGGGGCTATCACAGTAGCCGACTATCGAATGGGCGGTAGGTCCTACCATCCGTCCGGTACCTAGGTATCGAACAGTCACAGCTGCCATCAGAGGGGAATGAAACAAACAGAGTGTGACGGTAGAACCGTACCGTCCCGGTAGTATTGCCTACCGTCTAATGCAATAATTTCCAACTTCTTACCTGTTTTGTTTTTCAGCCTTAGATCGACAACAATCTCATAACACGAAAACCAATAGGTTCATATTAACATTCTAAAGATTATCAAGCACATGAATTCATCAATCAACGCCTAAATCATGCGTACTACCCTTTTTGATTTAACGAAAACAATTTCCAAAACCACAATCAACAATTATATAGATAAATCACATAGATCAACCACGATAACAATTATGAACGGAATTTCAAACCTAGAAGCAAATTCTAGTGTTAGATGTCCACGTACTCACCTCGATTGGATTTGGTTTAATAAGATAGAACTTCGTTCAACCGAGCATTAAAGGGGTCGCACCGTCACTGCTAATTTTGTAATAGCTACTATCCAATCGTATTCTTCACTTCCCATAGGTTGTCGAGGTACTCATGTAACTATCCGAGTCCCGCCTCGTTCCCCAAATCAGCCCGGACATCGCTGGTCTTCACCACCACACCCAGAGGTCGCCGGAATAAGAAAGAGCCACATCGGATCTACTCTTTGCCGTAGCTGAAGGAATTGGCCAGAGCAGAGAGAGGGGTCAGTCGTGCTCGCCGCTGTCTAGACCCGTCGCCGGAAGGAAGTCGTAGTCCCAATCTCTACAATCGTCGTCTTTTCTAGCATCCGAGTTCTTCGCCGGAAGGGGGAAATTCTTGTTGCACCCTCGCTGGTTTCTCCAGTCCCTGCCGTCGCAGTGGCTCACGAATTCGAAGGAGGAGGCTGGAGATTGTTTAATCGGAGAAAAATTCCATTTTCTCTTCGTGCTTTGCTCGTCTCTGGTCGAAGAAAGAAGAATGGCGGTGATGGATTGGTCGGAGAGGAAGAAGAGACACAAGGGACGGCGAGCGCGTGCGAGAGAGGAGCTGCGCATGAAAGTTTATATTTATATGCCTAAGGTTTTGTGTTCCGAGATTTTAAATAACCTGTATGAGTAAAAACACACTTTTCAGGCCAACTTACTCCGAATTGAGACCCGTTCGCATCGTTGGATTGGATTCATTGATCCCTACTCAATGATATAACTTTTATATCATTTAACAAGTATTTACAGGTTCTACCTGGTCCGTCTGAATTCTTTCGGTTAATTAATACAAATTAGTATTTTAATTTAAATCTTTACAATTATCATCAGATTACTTTTGTTATATTCAGACGATTAGAATCTCCAAAATATCCACTAATTCTTTAAAAGAATAGATTGTACTGAATTAATAATTTTTATTTATTTAATTATCAATTAACTTCTAAGCTGGTTTTCAGGGCGTTACAGTTATAGTACTCCTGATGGGACTTGATGTTCGGCCTTAACTTATTGACAAGTTAAACATCTCGTTCTATACTCTGTGATGTCACGCTTCATGCCTTGTCACCAGTACTGTTGTTTCAAGTCTTGGTGTATTTTTGTACTACTAGAATGCATAGTGTAAATAGTATTGTGTGCTTCTTGCATAATTTTAGTCCGAATGTCACCTTCGGGTACAACTAATCTTGATTGATAGTATAGTCCTCCGTTTGATTGAATAGAGAATTCTTGTTTCTCACCATTAGAAACAAACTCAGGTGTCTCTTTGCAAAATTGATCTTGAGTTTGCCTTATAAGGATTTCAGTTTCTAATGTTGATTGAACATGAAGTTCAGCCAATGTCTTTCTGCTTAAGGCATCAGCCACAACATCAGCCTTGTCGGGGTGATAGTCGATGACACAATCATAGTCTTTGATTAATTCTAAACACCTTCGTTGTCTAAAATTGATATCTTTTTGCGTGAGGAGGTATTTTAGGCATTTATGATCAGTGTAGATCTGTCTTTTTGCCATATAGATAGTGACGGATAATCTTTTTGCCATGTAGATCACTGCCGTTAGTTCCAAATCATGTGATGGATAATTTTTTTCATGTTCTTTCCATTGCCTTGAAGCATAAGCTATTACCTTCCCTTCTTGCATTAACACACATCCTAGTCCATTATGAGATGCGTCACTATAATTGACATAGTCCTTTCCAGGCTCAGGAAGAACTAAAACTGGAGCTTGTGTGAGTGCAGTCTTCAGTTCCTCGAAGCTTTTCTGACATGATTCTATCCACCGGAACCTTTGGTTTTTCTTCAACAACTTGTGCAAGGGCGATGCTTTTATTCAAAAGCCAGGGACAAACCTATGATAGTAACCTGCTAAAATAAGAAAACTTCTTACTTCTCGAACATTATGCGGAGCTTTGCATTTAGTAATTGTGACAATCTTTGTAAGATCTACACGAATTCCTTCATCTGAGATAATATGTCCAATAAAAACTACTTCTTTCAACCAAAATTCGGAATTGGATAACTTAGCATATAATTGATTTTCCCTTAGAATCTGGAGTGTGACCTTAAGGTGTTTTTCATGCTCTTTAGCATTTTTTGAATAGACCAATATGTCGTCGATGAAGACAACAACATATTGATCTAGGTAGGGACGAAATATTCGGTTCATTAGATCCATGAAAGCTGAAGGTGCATTGGTTAATCCAAAAGGCATTACAGTAAACTCGTAATGTCCATAACGAGTCGTGAAGCAATTTTTGGAATGTCATCACCTTTAACTCGAAGTTTATGATGTGCATACCTTAAATCAATCTTTCAGAAGACACTTGCTCCACGTAACAGATCAAACAAGGCATCAATTCATGGTAATGGGTACAGATTCTTAATAGTTAACTTGTTGAGTTGTTGGTAATCCACACATAATCGCAATGAGACACCCATATTTTTAACAAACAATACATGTACTCCCAGGGTGATACATTTGGCCAAATGAACCCCTTGGTCTAATGATATATATATATATATATATATATATATATANATTGACAAGATCTCCACCTACATTCGGCAATGGCTACTGGTCAAAACACCAAACAAAATTCGGACTCATGATGCATGGCTGTTTACCATGAAAATTATCCCACAGTTTACGAAAGAAAAGCAGGTGCGCATAATCAAATGGATGGCTCCTCCAACGGGCAGGCTCAAGCTTAATGTGGATGCATCATTCACTATATCTAACCAACGAGGGGCAGCCATATTGCGGGATGAGAATGGAAGATTTGTTAGGGCAGCTACTTTTAGTCTGGCATCACGCACTCCCTTTCAAGCAGAAGTTGCGGCTGGAATCGAGGCGATCAGCTGGGCACTCAAGGTACACTCCAGACTTATCTATGAGACAGGTGCCCTAGACATCATCAGGCACTTAAGCACATACTCTACTCCCGATGGATCCCTGTTTGGAATCGATGTCTTACGTAAAATCATTGAAGATAATCAGATTGGCACTTCACACATTCTACGGGAAGGCAACCGGGCTGCAGATCTCCTAGCCAAAGAGGATAAAACACAGGATGCCAAATTCATTGAATATTGTACCCTTACTTCCTGTACCCCAAATGTAATTGCTGCTCTGAAAAATGAACATGTACCATCTTTCAGATTTCATTAATAAAAACAATTTTTCGTCATATATATATATATATATATATATATATATATATATATATATATATATATATATATATATATATATATATATATATATATATGGGATTGACTCTAGTGAGATAACACCTTATAGTGAGATGACATGCTTCAGTGATATGATGAAGAAATACTTGGTCCAGAAATACCATACTTGAGTACTATTAGAGCTTTGATGTATCTAGCAAACAACTGTTAGTTCCATATTGTGTTGGCATTATTTTTTGACAAATGAATAGACTTACCTAGAATTATTTTAGATGTTTTATTTAGACATAGAGTCCTAGCATGTGAAGAAAGAGAAAGAGGAAAGAGCTTGAAGAGAGAATTCTAATCCTACTTGGTTTGCTATTCTTAAGGAGGAAGACATGGTTGAGACTCCTAAGCACACTCTAACAAGGCTATTCTATTCTATATAATATGCTCACCCTCCCTTAGGGTTTTGGGCATGCAAAACTACGTAAAACCTTAAGCAAATCCGATCAAAAGAAAAACAAGGTACAGAGTTTGACAGTGCAAAGTTTCTGGACAGCCCGCACATATTTGATCATCTTCGGAGATCCGACCGTTGGATTTTTCTGAAATTTTCATAGAGTGTTTCCAACACATAGGGCTTCAACTTGTTCAAATTTCACGTCAATCGGAGTTACGGGTCTTCTGTTATCGAAGTTACAATCTACACATTGTTGCTGATTTTGTGCAGAAAATGCAGCCCTGGTTTTGTTGATGATCGGAGTACCAAATCTTGTCCGATCGTGCTGAAATTTTAGGATGAGTCTAAGGACTCGTGGAAATTAAATCGGAACGGTGGAGATCGAATTTCAACGGTTCAATATCGATTTATGAGCTTCGGAACAGCCTGCATATTTTTGTTGATCAAGGAGGATCTTTATTTGAAGGTGTACTGGAATCTACGTCCTTGAAGAAGATCTTTGAGAAGGTGTAACAAGTCATGGAGATAGACGCAAACCGAGTTTTTCGTCAAGTCATTCGTAAGTAGACAAATCAACAGATTAGAAGGTTCTGTTGTGATTGATTGTGTAATTCTTACGGTGATTTAGTGGAAGGGCTATTACACGGACGTGGGCCTTGCAGAGGTAGGAGAATTTGCTCCGAACTGCGTGAACAATTCTGGTGTCTTGCTTGCTGTTTTTACTTTATATTTTACGTGTGTGCTTGTGACAGAGAAGGTGTTATAGCACTACTCTCTCAGTCATTTGTTACTGTGACAGTGCTGCAGCATATTCTCTACAACATAGTTGATTGTTTTGTTTGCATAGCTTGTGTTTGGTGTTATCCGTTGTGATCCCCACGAACTTACAATTGGTATCAGAGCTTGGCAAGATTAAGTTATTAGCTATATTGATCTATCACCATGGGAGATATTCAAGAAGGTGCTAATTTTTTTAGATCTCCACTATTATGCGGCCATGATTATACTTTTTGGAAGTGTCGAATGAGAGCCTTTCTCAAATCTCTTGGTGGACAGGTTTGGAGAAGCGTAGAGGTTGGATGGTCAGCTCTTACTATGACAAATGAAGATGGAGAACTAATTTAGAAACCTTAAGAAAGAAAAGGATGCTGCTGAATCGAATGATCAGGATTTGAATGCAATCTTTGGAGCGGTTGACAGAAACCAGTTCCGTCTTATCTCAAACTGCACGGAGGCCAAGAGAGCTTGGGATATTTTGCTTATTACTCATGAAGGCACTACAACAGTCAAGACTGCCAAACTTCAGATCGTGATGTCCAAAATTGAAAATCTTAAGATGGAGGATGCTGAGTCTATCACAAATTTTCATGGGCGGGTTAGAGAGTTGGCAAATGAGGCTGAAAGGCTTGGTGAACAAATTACAGAAAACAAGCTGGTGTTGAAAGTGCTACGTTCTCTTCCAGAAAAATACTCTATGGATGTTAAAGCTATTAGACAAACACAATCTCTCAATGTTATGTCACTTGACGAGCTGATGGGGAACTTAGAAACCATTGAGTTGGAGATGCATGAAGATCTGCGACGTAAAAAGTAGCATGTCATCCTCGTTGAAAAAGAGAAGCAGTGTGTTAAAGACAGTGCTGGAACATGCTGTGCTTTTCCAACTTTCCATAGTGTTGACGGTGACTCTGATAGTGACGTGGATCCAAAAGAGATGCTTATAATTGTTGAAGAAAAATTTCAAGAGTCTCTACAGGTCAATAAGAAAAAATGTTTGGAAAATGAGAGCCTCAAACATGAACTTGCTGAATCAAAACGCGGTGTGGAACAACTCATCAAAGAGTTACAGAGATACAAAGGTAAAGTTACAACAGAGGATGACACAGAGGATGATACAGAAGATGACACAGAGGCTGACACAGCAGAAGAGCTAGCTATTCTCTAAAGGAAGTGGGTAGAACTTGTTCAAGCCAATGAGAAAACTGTCCTGGAGAATCATCAGCTTGTTGCCGAGCGCAATAGACTAAAGGAGAGTATTTCAGAACTAGAAAAGAAGATTGAAGACTTAGAAGGGCAAAAATCAGATCTCAAGTATGAATTAAATCAACTCAAAAACTTTCACAAGTGGATGAAAAGTGCTGGAGGAAAAGCTATTGAGGAACAAGTGAACATTTCAAAATTTTATGGAGACAAGACGGGTCTCGGATTTTCAGGTTCCGAAAGCAATAAGACCCCACTTGACTTGTTTGTTGATCGAAGAAAGGAAATTGCTCAAAAAGTCCCACAAGGAAGGAAAACAGAAGCTGCTGCATCTGCTGGAACATCTTCTGCCAAACCCGCTGAAGCATCTCATGAAGCTTCTGCTGGAACAATTTATGCAGCACCCTATGCAAAAAGGCAAAGAGTTGTGACACAATCTAGTATGAGAAGACATAAGGATCATTATGCTAAACCTGAAAGGTATTCTTATACTAATGTCTATGTTAATTATGTTTGTTTTTGCTGTGGAAAAAGGGGACACATTCAGAGGAAATGCAAGATTTTTAAAGAGTAAAGATACAGAAAAAAGAATATGACAACAAGGATGATTTGGGTACCTAAGAATCAGAACAAAACAGGTCATAATCCTTGTGTGAAGGATGTTGCTTCTGATCAATGCCATGTTAGTAGTGCAAGCTTGCATCAAGAAGAAAAGAAAATAGATCGTTGTGCTGTTAAGATTGTTGAATCATCTCATAAGTGTGATGAAGTGACACCTCCTAGTCATGAGAGTGTGAAGTTTATGGCTATGAAAAAACGGGCATTGGGCATGTGTAAAAGAGCATTTGATGGGAATTGTTTTGGTATACTCAGATCTCGCTTGGGTCTGTGCACACCCAGCTCTACCTGATTTAGAGGATGCTCAAAGAGGTGTTTCATCTCCAGCGTGGAATACCTTAGAGCATAGATGTTTTTGCTGGTTGCATACATGTCTTTATTTTTGCAGATTTTTACTTTTTCAGATACATCGTTCGAGGGCGAGTCGCTCAAGTGTGGCACAGGTTGATGTGACAAAGTCTAGGTCTATTTTTATATTCATTATTGTAATGCTCAAGCTCACTTGAATGTTACTCTTCTCTTTTTGCCCCAATATTCTTAATAAAACCTTTGGCATTTTTTATGCAAAAAAGGGGGAGAAGAGGTTCAAAACAGCTGAGATTCGTTTTTGTCAAAAAAATTGCCAAAGGGGGAGATTGTTAGTTCCATATTGTGTTGGCATTATTTTTTGACAAATGAATAGATTTACCTAGAATTATTTTATATGTTTTATTTAGACTTAGAGTCCTAGCATGTGAAGGAAGAGAAAGAGAAAAGAGCTTGAAGAGAGAATTCTAATCCTACTTGGTTTGCTATTCCTAAGAAGGAAGACATGGTTGAGACTCCTAAGCACACTCTAACAAGGCTATTCTATTCTATATAATATATTCACCCTCCCTTAGGGTTTTGGGCGTGCAAAACTACGTAAAACCTTAAGCAAATCCGATCAAAAGAAAAACAAGGTGCAGAGTTTGACAGTGTAAAGTTTCTGGATAGCCCGCACAGATGTGATCATCTCCGAAGATCCGACCGTTGGATTTTGCTGAAATTTTCAGAGAGTGTTCCCAACACATAGGGCTTCAACGTGTTCAAATTTCACGTCAATCGGAATTACGGGTCTTCTGTTATCGAAGTTACAATCTACACATTGTTGCTGATTTTGTGCAGAAAATGCAGCCCTGGTTTTGTTGATGATCGGAGTGCCAAATCTTGTCCGATCGTGCTGAAATTTTAGGCGGAGTCTAAGGACTCGTGGAAATTCAATCTGAACGGTGGAGATCGAATTTCAACGGTTCAATCTCGATTTATGTGTTTACTTATAGAGATACGTACCACAACTTCATGGAGATCGATGAAGCAAACTTTGACCGCCACATCATCAAATCACACAGAGTTGATAGCTCTCTACGAAGCGAGTTAGGAATGTGTATGGTTGCGATCAATGATCCAACATATTTAGAGCAAATGCGATATAAAAGCAATCACTACTCACCCGACTCCTATATATGAAGATAACACCGCATGCATCGCTCAAGTTAAAGGAGGATACATCAAAGGTGACAGAACCAAGCATATTACACCGAAGTTTATCTCAACTTATGATCTCGAGAAAGACAGAAAGGTTGACATCAAGCCAATCAAGTCCAGTGAGAACCCCGCTAATTTATTTACAAAAGCATTACCCTCAAAGAATTTTGAAGAACTCGTACACAAGATTGGCACACGTCGCTTTCGTCAGTTATGCTAAGCTAAGGGGGGAAATTTTATGAACTGTACTCTTTTTCCCTTGATTAGGTTGTTATCCCAGTGAATTTTTCCTAACAAGGTTTTTAACGAGGCAGTACAAAAAATTAGAATGAGTTTCAAATCTACGCCCATTTCACAAATTACCCATCATCAATTGAAAAATGAACATTCAAGGGGGAGTGTTAAGAAATATATGAATTATTCATTTATCAATTAATTGGGTAATGCTCCATCATAGTTACAGGAACAAATTGTCTATCGCCACCATCAAGATACCATTTGAATAGTATGTATACTATTTGTAATAGTGTTAGCACTAAGCCTATCCACTATAAATAGAAGGCTTACCCTGTAAAACACCACTAAGAATAAGAAGAAGAGTGAAGAATTAATAAAGAAAAGAAATCAGAAATATATCATATTTATCTTTACAATCATTAAATAGTTTTTCTCTCATTTTATAATAGTATTTTGTGATATTTGGTTTTTTTACTAATCCTCGAGCTCAAAAAAATGAAAGGGAGAAGGACCAAACTAGGAGTAAAAGTTATGTTATATTCTCAAATAGGAGTTAAAACTTAAACTCCTCTAAATAGGAGTAATTAATTAATTTTTGTCCTCAATTCTCTCTTCTCACGCTCTCTTCTCCCTTCCTTTGTTTTTTTTTCTTTTCTTGCATGCGTGTGTATTTACACACTTAAGGGAGCTGAGTCTTGACATTGAGTTATGGGTAGGAATTAGAATAGGTTAGGAAATTGATTATTTATTATTATTATATTATAAAATCTTTATATTTATTTATTCAATTATAACATCTATTTTGCTCATAACTTTTTACACCAAAGTCTAAACTTAACAAAGTCTTTGTTGTTAGTCACCTTTTTACGAGATCAACCCAATTACCTATTTTTTGAATTAAAAGGTTTGCTTTACAAATAATTTATATTTTCAAGTCAGAAAATAAAATAGGATATTATATTTATTTTTTATCAAAATAACGGCTAACTACTAAGCCGGCTAATTTTTTTATCCAAAGTTAAAATTTTGTCAATAAATGATTCTTTTAACTATATCGTCAAGGGACGATAACAAAATCACACCCAAAGCTTAGTACCACAGACAAATATGGCTATTTTTACCTTGCTCCTGAATATTTGTATGTGTATGAGTGTATCCTAATTCACAACTCAAATATTCTGATTTGATGATTTGACATTCTTAGAAAGAGAAAAAAAACTTGATAAACATCATCTTTAAGTGTTGCCTCAGGCTCATAGAGTTTCAAAGAACACAACACTTAATGCCAAAATTCTTAATCAATAAATCTATGAGACCTGATTAATACCTTGTAGATATATGTCAAAATTCTTAAGCAATAAATAGAAACTCAGTAAATTGTTACAGTAAAATGTTTATACAGTGTCAAACAAGACCACATATAACGCTACACGTAATCGCATAATGACAATCATGCCATTGTATAAAGTCATACATGCAAATGCATAATGCTAAACCAAGAGATAATGCCAGATATGACAATATATAGTGTCACACTTGACAATGTATAATGACAGATATGCCAATGTATAAATTTACATATAACACACATGTTAATGCATAATCTCAAAAAAGTTAAACATCAAGAAACTCTGTTTGCCAACACAATAATCATTTAGTTTCAATATATGTTTTACAAAATCATTTTCTAAGAAGTAAATTTAGATTTAAAATCAACTCTCACAACCTATGTGAAATTGAATATAAAAATGATTAGAAGTTTCAAACTCACGCAAGGGTAAAAGAATTAGAACCAATTTTACAAAATAATTTCTAGATTTAAAATTGAATTTAACTACTTATGTCAAATTAAATATCAAATTGAATTCAAACTTACCCAAGGGGACGGAGGCATCCGAGCGATGAAAAATAGAGATGGACAGATGGTGGAGAGGGGTAGAAGGAGATTGTGTGTATGAGAGAAAAGGAGATAATGGAGAGTGCGGTGGAATCATTGCCGCATGGAGGAGATGGTAGCGGCGGAGAGAGGATTGAGATTAAGTTGACAGCGTCATCAACTGAGATTAGAACGAAGGAGATCGTAGAAGGATGATATTGGGAAGGGATCGAGTGACTTTTTCGACCGCATAGGGCTGGGATGTGGTGTGGTTAGTGCGAAGAGTAAATAAAAAAAATTAATTAATTACTCCTATTTAGAGGAGTTTAAGTTTGAACTCCTATTTTGAGGATATGATATATGTATTACTCATATTTAGGGGGTTTTCTTTAAGGACGGGTACAAGTGATAGTAATTGTTATTTTACCAATTGGCAAAGTGGATTGGAGTTGTTTTAACTTTTAAGTACAACAAAAAAGTGTAAATATAGTCAAGGAAAAAAACTCTGCAAACTTTGAGATGTTATTGTCCAAAAAATGTGGGTTTATTTTTGTCCAATACCTCCACAGGTTAGATTATTACTCCTTCCCTTCAAAAAAATTCAACTTCACTTTTTATTTATCCTAAAAAAATTCTATTTTTAATTAAAATCTTTCTTCTATAACTTACATATCACAATTTGAGCATGAGTATGGTATTGTACCATTCTGTTTCAAAACGGAATGATACCGAATAGTTTTGGGGTTGATCCAGTACCGATACAGAATCATTTAAATAAGAACAGTCTGTGATAAACTCCGATGGTATCACGGACCACACTCACCCTTAGTGAGGACAACCTTGTGCTTTCTTGTACTCCATTCATCCCAAATTAAATTGTATGTCTATTATTCATACGGTCAGACTAAATTCACTTTTTTTCTCTATTTTGTTAGTCAGTTGATAAAATAATATAGTCGTGTTACCACGACTTTTGTAGATCTTTTGATCTAGGTTTTAAATATATAATTTTTTTATTTTTTAATATTACACTATTTTTCATATAAAATGATTTAAATATAATTTTTGTCAAACATCGCAAACCAAAACAGACAACACAAATTAGGACGGGAGAGTATGTTTTAGTGTGTTGTACTAAAGAAATTACCTACGGCCCGGTTCTAGTGACACCGGAGAACGGTGCCACTCCGGTACCACTACGTTTTTGGGGCACCTCCGGTGCTCCGTTCGTAAAATTGACGGTTCCTACCCCCCTCTAACCCACCCCCTAAACCCCCCACCCTACCCCCACCCCTGCACCCCCACCCCGCCGTAAGCCCCCCCACAAAATGTGTGCCTATTACGCATTGCATAATAGCCACACATTTTGTGGGGGGTTTACGCCGGGGTTGGGGTAGGGGTGCAAGGGTGGGGGGTTTAGGGGATGGATTTGGGGGGGGTAGAAACCGTCAATTTTACGGACAGAACACTAGAGGTGCCCCAAAAACGCAGTGGCACCGCTAGTGGCACCGTTTTCCGGTGTCACTAGAACCCCACCCAATTACCTAAATAAGACTAAAACATAAAGAAAGTACCAAAGTAAGAGTTTCATGTTTTTAATCCTTAAATAAGAGTTCGTATTGTGGTAATGTGGCACTGCACATGTGTATTTTACGTAATGTATATGGTCATGATTGGTAATGTAAATGTATTTTAATTCCTATTTCGAGAATAAAAACATAAAAATCATATTTTGATATATTTTCAATATTTTATTTCTACTTTATCTTTTTCTCTTAGTTCTGTTGTTGTGCTTTCGTGACATTCTATTGTTGGTTTTTAGGGGCATGTCCTACCACTTGTATTCTTACATTGTACTGACTCCACGATTAATTCTATATTTACTGTTTCCCATTTTTTTAGTAATCATTGGTTTAAAACTCACTAATTATTTACATGAAGAAAAAAATAAATGGTGAACTTTAATATTGTGTTTTACTCCGTAGTATTTTGTTTAGTGAGCTCTAGTAGCAGGCGCAGTGAGGGGAACTTATGTACAGGGATATTGTGCAAATTATATCGTACAACCGGTTGTACAGGAAGGACCGTAACGCCGGCGGAAATAAGCGGCAGGATCGAAGAATCGAAGAAGTTCACGAAGGAGGAGAGGAGGGTGACGATCGAAGAAGGCCGGCGAAGGAGAGGCGACGACAAACGGAGGCGCGAAGATTGGGAGGAGGAGAAAACGATGGAGAATGGCGACGAGGGATGGCGATGGTGGCGGAGGTTTTACAGGAAGCCTAGAAACCCGGGACTGAAGAAGTTGAAGAGATTTGGGGATTGGAATGAAGGGTAGGGATGAAGAACTGAACTTTTCAATTGTGAAAGAATTGAACCATACTTTATTTCAGAATGAGTATTTCCTTATTTGAGAATGAGTATTGTTTTTTTAAGAATGAACACTACGCTATTTATTATAATTATATTAGACAAATGTGTAAAAATGAGTATTTCTTTATTTTAAAATGAATACTACCTTATTTCAGAATTAGTACTACGTATTGGTGTTTTATCTGTGTTCTATTGTGCCCTATCATATTTTTTGTGCAGGTTGGAGCCGGGGGTCTCTTGGAAACAGCCTCCCTACTTCCGAGTAGGGGCAAGGTCTGCGTACACACACCCTCCCCAGACCCTACTGTAGTGGGATTCAACTGGGTTGTTGTTGTCTTATTTCAGAATGAGTACTACGTGTTTCGAAATGAATATTTATATTTGTACGAAAATGAGTACTACTTTATTTCAGAATGAGTACTACCGGGATGTACCTATCTTTGGGTACATCCGGATGTACCATATACCTTCTCGGGATATTGTACATGTTGTACAAGAGAATTCATAGAATTGACATAATTAGATTTGGATTGAGAGTTGAAATTCTATGGAATTGATTTGAATAAAATTGAATTCTCCAATTTTAATTCATTTTTGGCACCATCAATTCCAATTCCACATATTTATGTGCTTACAAAACAGAAGAATTGGAATTATTATCCCCAATTCTGATTCTATAATTTGAATTTCGTGCACCAAATTGAGCCTCAATCTGCGTGAAATAATCATAATGAGTAGATATACCGTCTATCGTCCTTTCCATATGCTTCAATATTTTGGTAGTCTTTTTCTCTAGTCTAGAATAGACATTGTGCTTGACATTGGAATATATAAAAGTTGCCAAGAACATTTTAAAAAAAAGTGGAGAAGAAGACATTGTGTTTATCCAAATTTATGTCTCTCATGTCATGTGTGCACAACACAAGCTGTATTGATTGGAGAAGTTCTCAGCTGTGAGAAGACAGCTGACATATCTATTATCTAGGCAGCACCTACCCTATCACGAGGAATGAGACGCAATTCTGATCCATGTTTGAGGAAAACATTTCCTGAAAACATAAAATTTAGAGTTAGGGAGAGAAAAAGATCAACCCAATGCAAATCAACAATATTGTACAAATCAATTTACTAGCAAATAATGATATTAAAAGCATTTAAATGTGCCTTGCATTACCATCCATTCCCAATGTTTAGCTTCAAGCACATGATGGACTAAATGAAAAGGGACCATTAAACTTTTTATACTACAAATTTTCTGTGAAGTTTTGGGCAATATATATGTAGCAATGCATCTAGGGTCTAACTAAAAAAGTGTTTCCGTTTTTACCGAGACAAGACTTTGTAGATCTTGACCCCCCAAAGCCCAATTGAGTTGGGATTATGCTAGGTTGTTGTCAAACATGTCAGCATTAATTTAATTATTTACAGTTATAATGGCACAGAGATCTACTCCTAGGCCAGGAAAAACTAAAACATATACTCTCTCCATCCCACAGTGTTTGTCACTCTCACTATTACGGCATCTCAATAACTTTTGTTTGTTTATATATTTTCATCACCCCGGTTCCCATGACATTGGAAATCAATGTCATGGGATGACCCGGGGTCCCTACAGTGCTCAGTTCGAAAAATTGATAGTTCCTACTCTCCCAAATCCCTCTGGTCAACTCCCCCACCCCGGCCCGACCTAAACCCACCTCCCCACCACCATCAATTGCACCTCACAAGATTTAGTTCACTATGAAGTCAAAACTCCAAAGTCAACTAAAACTTGTGGGGTGCAATTGACGGTAGCGGGGAGATGGGTTTGGGTCGGGCCAGGGTGAAAGGTTTACCAGGGCCAGGAACTATCAATTTTTTGAATGAGCACCGCAGGGACCCCAAACGGGGCCCATGTCATAGGATGACATGGAGGGCTAATGTCATGGCAACCCTCCCCTATTTTCATTGATCATTTGATAAAGTAAAACAGTTTTTTCATAACTTGTTTCGTAGAACTTTTAATATACTTTTAAATGCTGTAATTTGTAGTTTTTATTTCTATTAAAACTTGTAATTAAAATAATTTTAAAAGTAATGAGATTTTGCTTGGGAGAGTGACAAGCATTGTGGGAAGGAGGGACTGTGTTCTTCAATGTTCTGTCACTGTAAAACTTGAAAGTGGAAGAGTGGTATTATGTTGAAGGAATCAAACAAAACACACAAGCACGTGAGAGCTAATCATCGATTCATGTGCCTCACATTATTTCTAGTAAAAATAGCATTTTTTAATCGTAACATTCGCTGATCAACCATTAATAATCCAAACATCAACTTCAACCCGTTCTAGAAATAATACGAACTTCAACACCATCATCCACTTATGCACCACAAACTAACACCGTTACTTCTTTCTTAATTAAAGTGGTTTTTTTATAATTTGAACATTGAGCGGTCAACCTACAATAATTCAAACATCAATCATTCTAGTAATAATACAAACTGTGATACACTCATCCACTTATGGGCCTGTTCTTTACTTTTCAATTAAAATTGACTCAACTCAATTCAGTTTAGCATGAAATCCATAAAAGGAAAACACGGAGACCATAAGAGATCAAGGTCAATCTGCTCCTATAAGTGTGGAGGTAAACAACAACAATGCACTGGAATTTCAGGCAGAAGACTTTCAATCAAAGGCTGCATTTAGGGTATTGGAGTTAGCACCTACACAGGTGCATCATCTATTTCTTACATGATCTGCAGCTCGAATGCTAGAGACCTTAATGGCCTCAATAAGCAAAATGAAGTCAAACAGTTTATTAGGAAAACTAATATTGGTTTGGTTCGTATCCTTGAATCTAAAATTAGAGATCATAATATAAGCAAGATTGAACTACATATGTTTAGTCAGTAGCACTCCTACATGAATTATAATTCTCATTACCATGAAAGAATTTAGGTAGTGTGGGATAAAGTTAAATACTCCCTCCATCCCAAAATAAACTTCCCACTACCCGTTTCTGTTTGTCCCAAAATAAACTTCTCATTCCTTAAAAAGAAAAGAATAAGTGGTCCACATTCATTCTCTCTCCTATGCATAAATCTCATCCATACAATTTCACTATATCTTTACTCCGTCAAAAAGCAAACAGGAAGTTTAATTTGGGACGGAGAGAGTATGAAGTTAAAGTTCTTGGTAAGAGTGAAGAAGTGGGGTCCACTGCCAAGTTAGACAAGTTGATAATTCTGAATGGTTTTCTCTTTTGTTTATGGTCATAATGATATGGAACCCAGGAAAGAAGTCATTGAATTGGGAGGATCTCGCTACTCAAGCTAGGAGTAGGGTGGACCCTTGGTGTATTTTGGGAAATTTTTAACAGTGTTCTTTTGTTTGAAGACAGAGTTGGAGGAACCCCCGCCATCAGAGAGGGAATCAATGATTTTGAGAGCTGTATGAGATATTATAATCTGGAAGAACTCCCAACACAAAGTATGGCATTTGCCTGGAATATTAAAAAAGGACCAGGAAAGGGGATTACTCTAAACCGGAGAGAGATATTATCAATATGGAATGGATCATTCAAATGGATGCTAAGGGAATTCTGACCCCTTAAGGCATTTCAGACTACTCTACCTTGATCATTCAATTCTCTGGTCATTCAATCATCAGGAGCCCATTTAAAATGTGTGGGCATTAGACCCTGCCGCGATTTTAAAAGGCAAACGATGCAGTCTCTTTAAGCCACAAAGGCTTAAGCACACAAAAATGCTGAGGTGGCATGAGGCATAAGCGAGGCGTAAGCCTCAGTTTTAATGGAAAACTCAACAGTGCTTTGGGTTAATTTTAAAAAGCTATTGGGCCATTAATCTTGAAAATACTCCAATTATGTACGGTGCCTCGTGAGTAAGGAGGAAGAAACATGGCTATGGGCCTATGGCATAGGACTAATCTTGTCAACAAGGAACTAAATACTCCCTTCGCCCACTTTAATTTCTTTCTTCTCACTTTCCTTTTTTGGGCTGTCCATTACCTTTCATCTCGTTTCCTAAAATGGCAACTTAAAATAATGAAAATGACTTCTTTGCCCTTTTATATTACATTTATTTACTACCCACCCAGCCGTTATCCTCTTTGTTATACCCGAGACCCGGGGTATAATCAAGTTGCTATTTGAAGATGGAATTATGGAATGGTGAAGAGGAAATGAGGAGGACGAAATATGGGGGTGGAACAAAGAGTTGTTTTTTTGGGTTTTTGATGAAAGAAAAGAATAAGTTCAAGAAGAAGAAATGGTGAGAAATGAAATTGGCAGAGGTAAAGTGAAGGGATAAACCAAGTTGGTGTTAAGAGATATAACACACTCTTATCTTAACTTGGGGTTTGAATCTAGAATTCAATCAAGATATGACACACTTAATTAAATATCTAGAACCTAAAACTCACACTTAAGAGAACCACTCTTAAGATATAGAATTAGGAATTTGGCTAAAATAGCATCACACTATTTTAAGAGAATACTCAAAAGAGTAAACAAGGTTTTTGAATTAAAATATGCTGCTTACAATGGCCATAAGGCCGAACTATATATGCACACTACAAAGGGGAAATAATACATTAATAATGAAGAAGAAAACAATAACAAAGAAGCTTCCTACTGCCTTCCCAAATCAGCATCCAGAGTGCATTGATTATTAGGATGAGGGTTTNTGACAAAGCTTTATTTAGCATATTTTGGAAGGGTCTATTTCGTCCATATGTAGCACAAATAAGTGGGAAACATTGTGGGGCTTGGTGGGATGTTATTTGGCTAAAAATGGGGCTGGTTTGTTCGGCCTCTAGTGAATAAAATCACAAGGAGATATTGGATGAATTTGGAGGATATTCTTTGGCTTGTTTTGAAGAGATTATTTCGGCCTTTTGTAGGGGAAAAGGTGAGGAAGGTACACTACATGTTTGGTTGTGAAATTAGTCAACAAAAGGAGAAACTTTTACAATTCAACTTTAGACTCTTTTTGCTGATTTTTTTATTTGTGGTAAATGGTAATTTTGGTTGGATTTTAGGAACCAAAATGGGGCTGGAATTTCATCCCTATGTAGGAACAAGAAGGGAAGTGTGTTATTTGATTATTTAAGGCTTTAAAAAAAATAAAAGTGGTCTTCTTATTTTCGGTCAAGGGACTTAAAATAAGTGGAGGAAGACTTTATTTGAAAGGAAATAAAAGAAAAGGCATTTTGGATTCAATCCATGTTCATCGTCTACTTCTCTTCATCTCAACCCTAGATTTGATTTTCTTGACTGTGATGAGATTTGATTTTGATTTTGTTTGGAATTTTAATCTTGAGTTTTTTTCTCCTTCTGGTGGGATGCATATGTGTTGCAATAGAAGAAGGGGTTGAGTTGGGAGTGAAGATGGCAGAAGGAAGAGGGGGATTGGTTTGAGACGAAGAAGAAGAAGCAGATTAGAATGGGAGACATATTTGAGACAGAGGAAGAAGAGGGGAATAATAATAGTGGAAAATAGTTGGATAGTGGAAAGGGCGAAATGGGAAAGTCCAAATATTTTACATCTTACATTAAAGGTCATGCGAGGTCAAACTGGGAAGTTCCTAACTCCTAAGTGGACGGATGGAGCAATAAATTAGTCTCACAAGGCTAAGTAATTGGTGTTCCTCAACTCAAGTTCGGAAAGAGAATTTGTGATCAGTTTCAAAATAAATATGGCGTAAGAATTACTCCTAGAACATCCTCAGAATTTTACCATTGACTCGACCTTTCCCGAGAATCTTTCTTAATTTCAAGTTCAACTTCTCAATTTTGAACTTAGTGTTTTTAGCTGGAGGACCAATATTTGAATACTAGGTAATTAGCATAAATACTAAGGCAATCAGGTATATAGTTGATTCTGCCTTAAGATAAAACATTCACATACTACTTGGTAGGATTCAAATGTTTAATGGTAAGACACAATGAGCTGTTTTGTGAGAGTTCTATGTATTCGAATCCTAAGCATGTTGCTTCTAATACTACGAGGGTGTTTGAGAGTGCGTTTGAAAATAAATTTTGAGCTTTTACCTGAAACACAACTTTAAATGTTTGCAAATCAGTTTTGTTGATCCTTGTGTTTTGCTAAAGGACAAATGCCTTAGTTATTGAGGAGCACTTCAATGAGACTAACATACTTTATCTACATGCAAGAAGACGTTCATGTCAAAAGAGATGCTCAAGACTTCAAGATTTCAAGACATAGGTTTAGTATGTTTCTTTTGGGGTTCTTAGAATATTTTGTAGGAGTATGACATATTAAATCTTTTTAACTCTTCTTGTTTTCCAAAAATAAATTATTGTTTAACCAAGAAAAATATTTTTCACAAGAAAGATAATTTATTTTACCAAAGTTTATATATATATATATATATATATATATATATATATATATATATATATATATATATATATATATATATATATATATATATATATATATATATATATATATATATATATAAACTTTGGTAAAATAAATTATCTTTCTTGTGAAAAATATTTTTCTTAGTTAAACAATAATTTATTTTTAGAAAACAAGAAGAGTTAAAAAGATTTAATATGTCATACTCCTACAAAATATTCTAAGAACCCCAAAAGAAACATACTAAACCTATGTCTTGAAATCTTGAAGTCTTGAGCATCTCTTTTGACATGAACGTCTTGTTGCATGTAGATAAAGTATGTTAGTCTCATT